TTTTTCTGTAAATTTAAGTTAGACCATCAATTTCTTGTTCTTCAATTTGCCGTGTTCTTTTGGTCAGGCTTTAGTTTATTCTCTCATATGTGATATCATGAAGTTTATGATCCAGAAGCCCGTGATAATAACTTTGTAATCTATTTCTTCTTTTTTTTCTCCAGGGCTTTGAGAACTATAAACATCCGAGAGGAGTCTGAGAAGCTGAACATCTGGGTTGCATACTTCAACTTAGAAAATGAATATGGAAATCCTCCTGAGGTACTCCAAGTAAAATTGCCATACATTTTGGTGATAAGCCATGCCAAAGGATTCTGATTTAAAGTTCTTTTCCCAGGAAGCTGTTAAGAAACTATTTTATAGAGCATTACAGTACTGCGATCCCAAAAAGCTGTACCTGGCCCTTCTGGGAATGTATGAAAGGACCGAGCAACATAAGTTGGCTGATGACCTTCTCGGCAAAATGATCAAGAAATTCAAGAGTTCATGCAAAGTATTGAGATAAAGGACTTTAACTGATTAGCTTCCAGATTCCCTATTTGTGTAATATTCCAAGTTATGTTACGAAAGTTTCAACTCTTGTTCAGGTTTGGCTAAGACGGGTTCAAAGACTCTTGCAGCAAAACCATGATGGAATACAGTCAAATATAAATCGGGCTCTTTTATGTCTACCTCGCCATAAGCATATCAAATTTATTTCACAGACTGCGATTCTTGAGTTCAAATGTGGGGTACCTGACAGGGGGCGATCATTGTTTGAGGGAATGCTGCGCGAGTATCCTAAAAGGATGGACTTGTGGAGCATTTATCTTGACCAGGTAACAACCTGCATCCCTCCCCCCCTCCTCCCATAGAGATAGATAGATAGATAGAGAGGGAGAAAGCAGCGCATCCTTTTTTTTTTTTTTGGTTGAAATATTTTTTTCACTCTAGTTACCTTAAACATTTTGTCTATCTGAACAGGAGATTCGACTAGGTGATGTAGATGTGATCCGTTCGTTGTTTGAGAGGGCAATAAGTTTGAGCCTTCCCCCTAAGAAAATGAAGGTATGTATTACAATATAGTTGTATATGGATAAGTTGATCTGGTTCTTGTCTCTAAAGATTTCCTCCTTCAAACTCTGCATTGATTTTATCTCTGGTTGCCTTGCTATCCTCTTGGTAGTTCTTATTCACGAAGTATCTGGAGTATGAAAAATCTCTTGGTGACGAAGAAAGAGCAAGTACTGTGAGAGAAAAAGCAAGAGAGTATGTTGAGAGCAACGTCAAATGAAAATTAATTTCATCCTCAGTTTGGTGGTATGGGATATCGATATGGTGGGAAGCATACCTGAAGATTGTGCTGGCTGTTTGTAAAGAGATCAATTTAAACCTTTGTATTTGGAGATAGCATACCACTGAATCTACAGGAATATTATCTTTCTAGGGCTTGGGGATGGGTCAATTGGCAAATATTTGGCTTGCAAATAGCTGCTTATATACTCCAAGGGCACGGATCTGGCCATCCATGAAGAATTGAAAGAGGATGCGGCGTAAGGATTATGTTGCTTACAGGGGTTGTGAAAATCTTTGCGTACACTTTCAAATGGGGACAGATGAGACTTTTTCTAAATGCCATATGGCATAGAATATGAACGATGAAGATTGGATACCTGAGATATTTCAGCGTACCGTCATCCTGGCGATGATGATCACTGTAATAGTTGAACCTTAGTCTATGCTGTAAGAGTAAATTATGTCTACCAAAAGCGGCTGAAAATTTTTTTTTGAGTGGCGAGAATTAATTAGCAATTCTTTTCTGCGGGTCAGTCTATTCATATTATGATTTAGCAAAAACCCCAGTTTTAAGGGTTTAAACGGTACACTACTAGGAATTTTACAGATGATGAGGGTAGAGCGTCTGTTCTTATTCTTAACCTCTTCCATGTTGCTTAGACTGTATTCCTTGGAGCTTGAGTTCATAAAATAGCAGCAGTTGCTAGCATATTGAAAAGACTAGAGGTGCATTTTTATTAACAGTGAGAACTTGAAAAAAGTTGTATTGATCTTGTCTGACTTCTCCTTAAGTGAAGCTAATAACACCTGTGGATGATACACATTTGCATCTGGTGCAAATTGTTGCAACTCTGCTTCGTTTAATTGGAGTTCAAAAGGAGAAGATTCTTTATAACACGTAAAAGCAGAGCATAAGCAGTGAGCTGAGGAAAATGTCCACTGATTCCAAGGGTTATGAGCTGAGCGTGCAGTTTCTTCTTCATGTAACGCGGAACTGACAGCGGGACAAAGATATCCTTCTCAGGCTGAATGATGGTGCTGCGCATGCGTACATGTTGCAGAAAACGTCTATTGTCGCCCAGAAACACAGTTTTTGCAACATCAAGTGCAATTTCTGGTTTCATCCTTGCTAGGCTGCCTTCAAACTTAGCTATAGCTTCACTATTGTTCACGCCAATGGCACTAGGGGCCAGATCATGAGCCCAGGCTGAAAAATTGCGTTGCAAATTTGTTAGAATGGCGTTTAGGTCTTGTTCACTGAAACCACCTTTGTAGTTCTGTGCATCGAGATACCTGGAATCATGATAGGATCAGAATGTCAAGGAAGGAAGGTTGTGATCAAGAATGGTCTATTAGATCATTCATCATATGCTGCAAGTTGCACTTTAGTCATTCTTGATAGTTAAAAATACGAACCCAAAGAAAGAAAAGAAAAAATGGGTAGACAACAAACATTATTTGTGCGTGTACCTGGGTGATCCATTGAGCAGAATGAGGTGTTGAAAGAGTTGAGGCCTCTTTGTGGCCGCTATGCAACCAATCATAGCAGACATGGAGTGCCCAATAAAGACAGTTTCCTTGACATGGAGCTGATCAAGAATGCAAATCAAATCTTCGGCATAGGCACTGAAGTTGTGGGAGTACCTCTTGGGGTCATAGAGTTTGGGACTGACGTTTGGTGAGAACACCAAATCATAGACAACCACTTTAAAATAGCATGCTAGGACTGGTATGATGAACTGCCAAACTGTCTGATCTACACCAAAACCGTGCGAGAGAACTAAAGTGTTTGTGGCATTTCCATAAACCCTAGTGTTTAGAGCTTCCAGAATGCCACTTCCACACTTGCTAAGTTCATCCATGTTTTCCTTGCCAACCAGCCTGTGTTTGCTTTTCGGATTTCAGAAGAATAAAAGGGCATGTAGAGATTGACAAGTTATTTATTTATGCACTGATGGAGCTGCTCCGCTTGATTTGTAGACTTTTATAAGAAGGTTTTGCGCGTTTGTGTGAGTATTTTATCAGTACACAACTTCTATAAATATATATATATATATATATATATGTATGTATATGTATATTTGAATATGATCCTATCTCCTTGCAAGTTTCCCCCCACCTTCCTGGCCATATCATTTGCAATGTTTTTAGGCGTGATTAGACAAAATTTTAGAAGCATGTTGAGTACGTAATGTATCTCAATAACATGCATGCTTCTTCAATACCATTACCGGACATCAAGTTTCATAAACGTAGTGAAATTTGTTTCTAGAGATTAAGTTGGAAAGTTGAAGCTATTTATTTATCTCCATTTTGCACCCCATTTCCAGTATATGTATGCGGCTTTTACGAGAACTCTTTCAGACTACAGCTATGTTAGGGAGGTTGGTTACTACAAGTTTACATGTATAACATTCTTTTCTTTTAATCTGGGTATAAAAGTATCATGTTCAATTGTCTGTTAAATTCTATCCTATGCATGGTTCGCAGCGGCAGGTGGTGGTTGCGTCGCATTAGAAAATATCAAAAAAGACAAAATTTGAAAAAACATCCGAGTTAAATCCGAGTTGATTCGGATATATCAGCCAATACCATGCACCATGGATTTGAACCGCCAATATCGACCGAGTCAGAGCGGGCTGTCGCGGATATTATCATATCTGCGATTCGGGAATCGATATCATACAGGTCGTATCCGTTATGGTTATAACTCGGCCGATACCGATACGTATAGGTATCGGCCGATATTGCTAACCATGATCCTATGCATTGAGTCTGAAGATATTGTTCTTTCATGGATTTCATTTGGAACTAATCGTCCATGTTCGAAGTTCACAAAATCGAGTAGAAAGAATAACCACTTAAATGAGGGAGTAACCTAAAGTAAGGAAAAGGGAAAATAAAACTGTAGATTGTGCTTCAAAAAATTATGATGATTAATCCTCATCAACTACCAACAGCCGGCTTAAGGATAAAAATGAGTTAGATGGTGACCAGAAGAAATTTTTATACTTCAGATATGATTAAAAAAGGAGGGTAGTTGACAACATAGTTTTGTCTTTGGTTTTTTTGTTTGGCGGTTGACATCTGACAACATAGTTTCACTGTTTGCAGTTTGATTTATTCCCCCTTGTGTGAATCAAGTTTGCAGAAACTAATTGAACTCAAGACCTTCTTTCACTGTTTTATACATTAGGACAAAACCGAGGATGTCTTGTCCTGATGATAATCTTTTCAAAGGGATCTCCAACGATCCAACCGGCCTTCCTTTTTCTATGTTTGTGTCAGATTCCTTTTGTGGAACTTCATTTTGTCCCATTGAAAGTAGCACAGGAGAGACTAGAGAGAGAAAGGATTTGGACATTAATACTTTTTATTTCCTTGCAAATTAAGAAGTTTGCCGGCAATTATTATCCTTTTCTAACTAGTCAATTTCCAGCTATTACTACAATTGTTTAAGATCAAGTTGGCAAATTAAGATGGTGAATGTGTACATCTGTAAAACTTTGATAAATTAAATTGTCTTCTGAATTTAAACATTGGGACCAAAAGTACCCATGGCCCAAAACAAAGGACTGTTGCTCCTCGTTATGATATTGAAAGACAATTTTATTAGCATATGAAGAAGGCGGAAACTGGGAAAGTTGGAATCAAAGAGACACTCGTGGACATCACAAAGAGACTAGTTCTCATACACGTATTCAATCATGGGCATCTGTGCTTTCTTCAAAATATACAACTGGTAATTTACATCCAAGTGGAACATTTTCAGATATCATCACTCCAACTACATAGACAGACAATATTTAGCTGGAAAAAAACTTGTGCAAAATTTGGTCTACATTCAATTACATTGAGATTACTGCAAACAAAAGCCACAACCCATGAGTTGGAAAGCAACATTCACTACCTTTAACCACCATTTTATCTATTTACAATTAATCAACTATGCACAAGTGTGCAAGTTCTTTACAAACAAGTGATGCTACATTGATCTGGAAAAGAGAAAAGGAAGCACGAGAGCCGTTTTGGAAAAAAAATTCCTATGCATGTACCCTGCAAATTCAGTCCGTGAGGACGTTTCCCTAGATACTTCTTATTTTACTGTCGTCTTACCTATTCATCAAGCAAAACATCCGAGTCAAGGCCTAGGAAGAAGTATTTGACCATTGACAGTCCGCATTTCCTAAAAATAGGCATTTGACAACACCAACAAACCATTGCAACAATGTCGACAGAATTTGCACCGAGTATAAAAACCTCAAGTGGCCATTCAACGCTGCAACCAGCACTCATCCCTCCGTCAGCAACCTTTGCAAGAATACTTGTCCAGCACAACCTTAGGGATCAGTTTAGGGCATAATGAACTCTTTCAAGTAGTCGGACGACCTGATTAACGGTGATCCTTGGAGGTGATTGTTTTGTACTCAGCATTACTTTATTCAGTGAGGAGAGAGGTAATGCTAATACGGCTTCCTGTTGCATGCTAGTCAGTTCCAAGAACTGAGCCAGCATATCACCGTCGAGAATCTTCCGTGTCCCAACCTATTAACCATCTATTATTAAAATTTACTACGATATTTAACACCGAGGAAAATGAAAAATAAACAACATAGTTCACAACAATTGGATCACACCCACAGACCAAACATACACTCGCAAATCCTTGCAGTGAGTGTTATGAACAACCATAATTGTCCTCGAGAGCTTGTGACAAACAGATTGTCAATTTTAACATATTCACAAAAACCAAAGCAGAGTCAACTGTTTCGACAGACAACTATAAAACTGGTTAAGACAAAAATCATCAGTTTTCACATTTTGATTCCTAAAAGTTAAATATCTCCTTCCGCTGCATGCAGAACCAGCTATATCCCCATTATTTTGCAAAAATGGAAATCATAGAGTACTCACAAGAATATGGTAGAACTATCATACCAGATGTTAAATAAATAAATAATTTGAGAGACAGAGAGAGCGCGCGTTAACTAAGTGCTTCTCTTACCGAACTTTCACGGCCACGGAAGTCATTATGATCATTGCCTAGGATTGGCGCAGTCAACGGGTGAATCACAAGCCTAGCTTGTACAGCTTCTAAGAGCTCATATTCTCTCCTGAACCACCAGGCTAGCTTGTTCAGTAATAAAAACAGAGACTTTGTTCAACCAGAAAAAGTAAATATTAACATTTATAGAATCTCATCTTGAATTTACAACACATTGAGGATTAACATTTCTCAGCAAAGAATGTTCATTGAGTTATGCTGAAATCTTGTGTATTACCTTCATTCTCCAGCATGAACTGCTAGGGAGCACTACCATCACAAGCAGTTCACTAGAGAAGCTAGAGATAGTTACAACAAAACCACCTACATATATAGCATAAAAATGGATCTTCCACTTCCTATGTTGCTGCAAGTGAATAAATAAGATTTGGCTTCTTACATGGTGCCAGATAGGATAGGTTTTATACCAGAAAGGGTCTGGACATGTGAGAAGGGAATAAACAGAGAGGGCAGTCACTTGATATAATAAAAAGAAATACTATAATTTGTTTTCAGGACAAAAATGTCAGAGAAAGATATAGTAAATCCACTATCAATTGCCAAGTTCAGTGAGAAGAATCCTGTCAAGCTTCTGCTACTGCAATTTCAAACTTATTCCATCTTCAAAACACAATCATTTGAAAAACATTTAACAAGTATACTCATTTTCAGATCTGACATGGTTATTAAAAAACCCCTAATATAATCATTCTAATGCCCCATCAGATAACCTGCTTGTAGCCCTTTAAAGCATTATCTCATGTCAAAGTTCAGCAAAGGAAATTTTTTTAAGATCAGCATAATGCAGACGTCAAACAATCATGGAGCAAAATACATGACTGAAAACCTGGAATATCACTCAACAATAGCTATTCAATAAGCTACCTGAAAGCTATGCAGCAGACATGCATGCTATCACAAGCAAAGAAAATCGGAAGAAATTGCAGTGACCAAATGCTTGACAGTTTCAGTGGGAATCAACCAAGAAATTAAAGTACTTTATTCTTTATACTTTGAATTTCAAGCATGTCAGGCAAAAATTTTCAAGTTCATGGTTCCCCAATTAACAAAATTTTAGGGAACCAAATACAATGCAGCACTTAAGCAGTATCTACTGATAATTAACCAACACGACAAATAAAAAGAGTTTAAAAAAATGTTGTAAAAAATCCCAAGTTTCACTACAAGGAATTTGTATTAGAAAAAAGGTTAGTAAAATCGACAGATTTGATGATAGAAATTCCTTTTGTCAATAGGTGAATAGGTTGGGTGTTGGTGATGCTTAAAAGAGGATGGACAGAACTGGCACCAACACTAAGGCAAGGATCCAAGCACAAACTGCTGCAGAACCTTGAGGAATCAATGCTACACTATATAAGGAAAAGAGACAAGGGCAAGAAGAAACTGAGTGCTCAAGTATCTCTTCTCAATTTAATGTATTCAACAGCAAATGAAAGCTAAGTTCACAAACAAAAGACAGCAAACTTGTATTCTGATGTGGTAATGACAGTTCATCCCAATTCACATCCAAAAGAATACATGAAGCACGAATGAGGAAAAGGAATGGATTTAATACCTTGTGACAGGAATGAAGATCACAACACCCCCTAATAATGTACTGGCCATAATACTATTATGTGAGAGGTCAGAGATAGTATTAGCTACAGCATATCCCCTTAACACATCATCCGCTGGAAGTTTGTATGAGAATGATCCCTACAAGATAAAAGTAAAAGTGATAAGACAATATGTTTAAAAGGTAACAATGTCAATACCTTGTACAAAAGTTTACAACATATAGAGGTGAATAAAGCAAAGCCCAAATTGCAAAAACATTGTCTTATGGTGTAAGCCAACCAACCCCCAATTGTCTGGATGCCTAGATGCAGGAAGAGGATTACACAAACGACCTACAACAAGAAGCATCAACCCAAAACACCAATAAACAGCCATCAAAATGATTCAAACTGCCTGTTATCAACACATCCATCATCATCAGCCTTTTAGAAAGATGGCAGTATAGTTTCCCTGCCACCAACATGGATACAAAAGTTGTGGACTATTAAAGGTATTCCAACATTTGTTCCCAAAGTGACATGGTTATTGAGACAAGCATATTAAGGAAGCATTGAATAATCTTCACCCTTCCCTCTCCCCATACAGTTTGCAACACACACTGTTCAACTCTCGAAATGTTTGTATGCTTCAAAGACTATATCCCAACAAGTTCTTAAGGGTTATTCAAACCAAGGAAAATACATAGGAAGATACAATACATGTGTAGACACAACTAAATGAGGGTGGGTGAGTGGGGCCACTGCCCCCCGACTTCCAGAGAATCAAGTTTTCCCCCATATGATTTTGAAAATTTTCATTTATATCATTTATAAATTAAATGTTTATCACCCCCACAAAAAAACTCATATTACACAAATAAGTTTAGAAGCATACAGAAAATGCCCCCTCAAAATAAATGTTCCCGGGTCTGTCTATGAGTGCACACATACAGAGGCAGATATCAGATCAACTAGCAAGAAAACAATATGGAATAAACCTATATCAACTTTCTTGTTAGCAAGGATTTATGCCCTACCACAATTGACAACCTTAAAGATGAGAGGTTACGTTCAGTACCAAACTCAGCTTCACTCGTGTTTACAACATAAGATATCCCAACAAGTCAAGCATTGTTCTTGTCAAGAAACTCTTTTTTTTTTTTCTTTTGAAGCTTCTAGATTCTACTTCTTGGTTCAAGGTCCTCAAACTAACAGGAATCAAAATAGTAAATTCATTCCACCCGAATCCAAATGGGGCCAAAGGGCTGTGGTTACAAACAATACGCTTGGACGATACACTGTCCCATCATAAGTTTATTACAGAGAGTCCACTCCACCGTATCATTAATACATAACATACAATTTTCCTAGCAGTGGCCACAGAAAATTTTAGATGATATTTTCTGCTTTAGTTTACCATGCACAGCTGACATCTTCAACCATCGGAAAGACATTAAATATAACATGCAACATAAAACTGCCCAAACTGAACTTCATGGTTGCCTACTCACCATAACAGCCTAGTTGCAAGTGCATTGATATGGTAACAAATTATAATAAACACTTGTAGATCATGTTACTTTTGTAAGAATAACAGATTATCCACATCAACTCTCATCAACCCCTGGCAAGCCTCAGCACCTTTCTTTGGCTGCTATATCTGCTGCTCTTAACAAATTTAGCTTGTGAAGACAACTAATAACAAATTTCTAATTGGTATTAGCACTCCTATACCTTCAGCCAGTTCTCCCTTCTACCTGCAACAATTTACAGTCCAAGAACTTCCCCAGTGTATCAATTTGTTTCTACTAAACACACAGTAATCACTATAAAAGCAATTTCTAAATGTAACATTCTTCAGGACATGTCACTCTCTTTCCGAAATTTATTAAGCAAGACTTTTTTTTTTTTGGCATCCGCAAATTACTTGATTCGACATGAACTTACCTTCCTGATGCTCATGGCTATTTCACCCATATAATATGAGCAATTCAATGTTAAGTTGCATTCTGGACTTGCATTATCTGGAACATGAAGCAAGTACCACAGATTATTAAAACAATAAACCAGTGCAGAAGCAAAGAGGAAGAGAAACAATTACAGAAACAAAACATCTCATCTCAGGAAGTAACCACCAACTCCAGGAAAAACACATATATTTGCAAGAAAAAATATTATGAATACACAGAGTCAATTTTATGAATATTTGATGATTCAAAGACAAATAGAGGAGAAAAGGCTAGAGAATACTACAGAATCTTAGACAGTAAACAATGTCCATATCCTAGTAAAATCTACCACTAAGTAACCCAAATAATTACGTTGACCTACACCGCAGAAGCTCTCCAAGAGAAACCTTTACCCTCTAAATGGTCTGAAGAAGACAAGACTGCAATGCTCCCCTTCCGATCCGATACAACAGCAGTATCAACATCCATAAGAATACAATCAGCAACTAGCCTCTGAACTGGATCACAATAGACTTGTTCGAGTTTCCTTGCATCCTGCACCAAAAACAAATAGGTGGTGATCACCAGAAATAATTGGTTTACCATACCATGTCATAAAACAAAATTCATAATTCAATAGTAGTAAAATGGACAATATCTCTTGAGCATCAAAGCAAATATAAGCATGTGTCAAAGATATGACCATATATTAGAAAACAATGTAGAGGATTAAAAGAATCTCCAGCTTAGCCCTGCAGGAGCAACTCAATAAAAGTTCTCCTTTTGCAGACCAAATAGGCGAACATTGTCTACAAATTAGTGGAGGATTATTTTTCTTGGTTCTGCGAGTTTTCATCCATTTCCAGATAAAATTCCCGTCCTAAAAAACGCTAAATCAAGTATGTTAACCAAAATGTCATCTTCTAAACTTCTGGTCAAAGAACTTTTGCAAACTTAACATCCGTCACAATTCAGCTTACACTTGACATGGGAGACTTGTTTTTTTGTATTCAGAAGGATATGCTAGCTCTTGATTTGGTTCATCCTGATGAGTTTTTTCAGTCTTTTCTTTCTTCGCACTTTGACATGAGACCTCATGACCAAGTGATGCAATAGCAACATAGCAAGTGTTAAGGTCAAGGAAGCAACCTTTATGTAAGTACAAGATTTTGGTGCATTCTTCTTTAAAAAATTCTTCAATATGACACAAAAAACTCACTTCAAATGTTATATAAAGATTATATCGATGGAATATCAATAACAGCAATTCATCATTGATTTGTATCTAGGAAACTCTACATCATTGATTAGCATCTTGGAAATGGTATAGGATGGCCATCTTTACTTATTTCCAATTCCTAAATATAAGCAGTTTCCTGTCATTTGTTTTCATTTCAACATCTTAATTTGCCTATCTTTCAGAAGTAAACTGCAAAGCGCCTTGGAATTCGCGTAACAGGCTAGTAAGGTACCACAAAACACTCCGAAACTCTTGTTCAATGGAATTTATGGCTTAGCAAACATAAGCAAAACTTCGAAAAGAAGAGTACAATTACCAAGCTAGAAAAGCAGAACCAAATAGCAATCACTTACTTCATGATAGGAATAGAAGAGAATGCCATCACGGCAATCACCAACAGCAATTCTGGTAAAGTGTGCAGTTAACGTCATAATCACAAAGCGTGTTCTTCCTACAGCCAATCTCCGCACCCTTTGGAGGTTATCATTTGGAAAACTACAGACATAGAACTGCAGAAAAGGCCAGAAATCTCACCTTATGATCTGTAGAACAGTCACTTTTGACTTGTAACAAAGTAGATAGATAAAAGGATTATTTGACTTACAGAATTACCAGCAGAAGCCAAGAAATATCGATCAAGATATGGGCATACAGCAAGTACCATTCCAGGCCAAATGGTAGAATAAGTTAATCGTAAGTGCCATGCTTCAGATTCTTCCAGTTTGATACCATCAGAACTATCATCATCTGGGCTGCTACAAATACTACCACTAGAGAGCTGTTCAGCAGAGCACCCACCAATTTCACGAAATGGTGAACTTCGCTGAGAATATGAAAAGGTCCTTGAACTGAATGTAGCGGATCCAGTATCTGAATTTTGTGTGTGTTCAAGGCATAGGACTATCAGACGGCCACTTGTGCTGTTAAACATAGCTTCAGTTAACACCAGACATCATAAAAAACAAAAATAAATAAATAACAAATAAATAAAAACAAGGGGTAGCATTAATGCAGATCCATGTATCCATAATCTTAGGGGAAAAAACGTATTGGTGAGATATAGACTAAGACCAAGCTGATTATAATGCAAGCACCACAGCATCAACACATCAAAGCCACAAGGATTACAACGGTCAAGCCAGTTCATCGACAATAGACACTTAAATATTGTAGGAGACAAGTAAACCAATTAAAAGACATAAACAACCAAAAGAAAATTTCAAATATGTATCAGTACAGTGGTGATAACAAGTGTTTCAATTTCTAATAAAAATTCATAACAACAATAAACACTACACTGAATCACTGGAGAAGAAACCTAGAAGAAAATGTGAGCACAGATGATAGCTAACCTTTCAGCTTCACCACTAGGCATTATAGCAGGGCCAGCAGATAGGCTAGTTCCAACCACCAAAACATGTTCATGTCCAACCTTTACCAATTCCATGCATTTACCTGTCTCCCCAGGTTCAAACTTAAAGGATGACAATAATGACCCACTGAGAGGATCTACACAGCATACATCAGATGAATATGAATCATTTTGCAATTCAGTCCTCAAGACAAGTAATAATCTGCTTTCACTGTGGTATAAAACCTTCCTTGGTGTGCCTCCAAGATGAAACTTCTGCACATTAAGCCTCTTACTTGACACCATCTCCACCTAAAACATTTTAATCATATATCACCTCAGCAGAATAAAAAAGAAATGGCTACAAGTCTACTAACAATATCAAGCATCAATATCTTCTCTATTTCAACCGAAGTGTAATAGGTTCGGCGTAAAAATCAATAGAAAAACTACATGAGCAAGACATTTGTCCCCTTTCCCACGGAAAATGACAAAACAAAAAGAAAAGAATGAGATAAGAGATACCATTACTTTGCGAAATGGGAATTACAGAATTGTTGACATGAACATATTTCTCTATAGGGAAACCCAGAGCTGAAAAGAAAGCCTTCAAATTTCTCTCAATCAACTGTAAGCTCAGAAACTAGATATATCTTAGGTCGGGCATATGTTACTTGTATTACATAATTTAACACTGATCCAACCACAAGAAAGATACCCTTCCGCTAATCCACTACAAATACTCAGTGCCAGAGTCACTGAATCGGTAGTTGCCAATCCCTGGACTATTTAATGTACTTTATCTGCTGGGTTACATTACAGGCGGGCATTTTACCAGAGGTTTCAAATCTATGATTCCTGTTGAAGCATATACTCGGGGGTGGGTTATCGAGATCTTTCCGCAAGGCACAAACGAATAGAAACTGGGAAAATAGATTCACAAACATACTACAGAAACATTTAACATAGACCAGCAAAATAGAAAACCTCAAAGGACATAATACAGGACCAGAAGTATTCCTTTTGCAAATTATAGTATAGATTGTTGTAGTATAAAACCCCCAGAAAGAAAAAGTTACTAAGAGGATCATTAAGTATTTCTGATTAATAACGTAAATTCATAATATTCCTCACCAAATGAAGACTATTCTCTGCAACAAATAAAATTCCCCTAGGACATTCTCCTGAGCAAACTGGAGTGACATGTGTAGAAGGTTGAAAAGAGATGGATGTATATGACAAGCTGTGCCTTGCAGTCTGCAGTAACCATGGCCTATCGCTCAAAACAATTATGTCAGCATCAAGGTAATCGCTTAATGGAACCAGAAAAACAGGAGTAATGCCGATGCGGCGAACGGCAATAAGCTGAAGGTGAACAGGAAAGCTGTCTCTTGTCTTCTCCAAGAAACTGGAAAAGGACCTCAAGGACCCTCTGTTGCTTGGAGGAGTAGACATTGCTGAACCCAATGAATTTACCAAGCAGGAACCCATAACTGTGTAATCAGAGGGGGAGATAGCCGAATCAGGAGGCCATTCAAATCTAAGAAGCATACCATTCCTCAACCCTGAAAGAATGTAAAGCCGATCAACTAGTACAAGCCGTACATCTTGAGGAACACAGCCACTGATAATCGTTCCCATGGTGTTTGTTAAAGAGATGGTCCCTATAGCAAGAATTTGCAGACCCGTATCAGGGGAAAATGACAAAACCTCAACTGAAGGTTTGTGTGTGCCGATGATAATGGCATTATTGATGTCCACTCCAGACGGCAACCCAACAGCAGGGCTAGTATCTCTGAAGTTCATTTGGGATGGTAATGATCTGTGCTCTAGATGTCTTGAAGGTATTGAGATGCAGGACAACTCATTCTGCAGCCTCACTTGTTGCATTTGGATTATTTCATAACAATAAGTTGATAAGGACCTGATACCAAGAATAAACAAGACACAGGGACTAGAGGTTGCCACAGCTATCACATTATGCCCAACTGCTCCTAAGCTTATGCTCATATTATCAGGACCCCACGACGAACAACTTGGAGAAGACATGGGAACACCTTCAGATTGGGCTACATTAATAGGCACGCAGAGTCTGACCGCATTTTGGTGGATTTGCACCAGCAAACCATCAGCCACCAGACCACATGCCAGTGTGCAGACATCTGGTTGGAAACCAACTGAATCTGTCACATCAGAAAAGCTTACACCAACAGAAAGCACCCTGGTCTCCTCAACAAATGATAGCACTAGGAAAGAATGACACGTATCAGTAACATTCATTTTAAGTGCCCAAGTGCCAGTTATACCATGATAAATAGGGGCAGTTTTCAACAATTTGTCCACACTGATACCACTTCTGATAATCCGCAATGAACCCTCTGGTGCCATCCCACAACAGGCAAACATTTGGTCATGTTTCTCACCATGATAATCAACAACTGACATGTCCAAAATTGGTGCAATATTTTGAATTGGGCTTCTGTAATATAGCCCTCCATCTTCCAGCTTTAAAACCATTCCATCACCCATCTCAACAATTGCAGCCAAAAACCCACCCTCAACCCACAATAATGCCTTTGAAGGTAAACTTTTGTAAAGACCATCAGATAGATTTACTTTCAGGCCATGAGAATCAGAAGAAATTTCAATCATAAAAAGATCTCCAGAGTCTGCACTGAAAATCATCCTCGGATTGTCCACATTCCCTGGCTCCCAGCTCCAGGAGCAAATATAGTTAGAACCTGGCTTTATGCTAGTGTCAGCATCAATATCCATTGAATCACTCTTACGCATGTCACTCAGCTCCAGCAATGCAGAGGCTGCAACACTGTACATTCCTTCTTCATCAATAATATCGGGAATTCTAATTGTAGCAGTATCTTCCGCAAAATTCTGCTCTTCCACTGAAGCCGGTATAAAATCCAAGCTAGTTCTAAAAATTACAGAAGGGTTGTGAGCATCCCTAAAATCCATTAATAGTGCATCACCAGCCCTGAACAGAAAAGCTAATCCATAAGAATTAGGAACTTCAACTACGTGATGTGCTAGAGGTCCAGCTTCATCATAACGGAATATTACATGGACAGCCTGCTCCCTGAGATTCCACTCTAATAGAAGAAGTTCATTCCGATAATATGACATCCTCCTGCAGCAGCACAACCAAACCTTATCAGGATCTCAAATGCAAATGATTCAGATGATAGGAGTATTCCAGCAACCAAAAAAAGACCAAGGAACTGACAGGCGTAGGCACAGGCATTAAGTACTCAGAAATACAGTTCTCAATCTCTCTTGCAGATGTATTAATCATCCTACCTATTCAGAATAACTGCTAATAGAGGGCTGCGCTCCTTACTTTGTTGACGAAGATCTTTTGAGATAAAGCACATGCTCCATATAGTACCACAAACACTTGGAAAACCTTTGTCATTGCATTGATTTTCAGGGGGCAAAAAGATTTTCTAACAAAAGAAAAGAGTCATGAAAGAATTACACATCAGAAGCATCGATCACCATATCCAACCACATTCGACCAAATACAACTTTAGAATAGATTCCTGAATATAATTTTCTAACCTTATCGATGACATCACTGCCAGAAGAAAGTGACACTGAAAAAAGAGCCAATTTGTCCTCATATGCACTTGCAGCAATGAAACAACCACTGCACAGAAAAATAGTAAAAAAAAAATCACAAATTAAACTCCCAGAAAATCCAGTCTCAAGTCGAAATCAACACAAGAACTCACTTGGAATCAACAGCCAACATCCTTCCAATTTGATCCCTTCCATTTCCTGGGGACGAAAGTTGCACGTGCGTTAAGGGGAAAAACCTACAATAATAAGAAGTACAAAAGTAAGCCTTCTGTGGGAAGATAAAATGTGTTAAGTGAATGAAAGATAGTAAAATGAAGTACTAAAAAAAGTACGAGCATTTGAGCCTTCAGGAAGTACTAGAGCAAAAGCTACAGAAAGAATTCTTAAGCACAAAGACAACCTGTGCATTTCACTGCTAAAACTGAGAAAGGAAAGCTTCCCTGAATCAGAAATTACAACCAGAACGTCTTTCCCCCGAATCTGTAAAAGAACCAGAGGGAGACATAAAATTCCAAGATGAGGAAAGCAAAAAAAAAAATTCAATATGAAAATTTGATGAATTAATTACCTGAGGGTTTTGCGAATGGTGAAACCTCTCATTCCAAGGGAGGATAGCAAGATCTTTTATTGTGCCAAAAACAGGCTGCTCACAAACAGATTGCAATGCTCCATCGTCATCAATAATTACCAGCTCTACAGATGTTTCCTGAACCAAATGCCCATATTTGTGTTAAAACTCATGCATTGAAAAAGGAGTTTAGCTCAACCAACATGGTATACTCAGTTTTCAAATCAATGATATATGACTTCAGTTCAGTATTGAATTTCACTAATCTTCTTGCAAGCACGACGTTGGGGTCTAGAACCCCCACAAGGAATTAAAAAAACACACACACACACAAATTTCTCTTTCTTTTTTTTAAGTGTTTTTTAAGTGTAGAACCTAGTATATGGCCACTTATTGCTTTTTCATTATCTGCTCAACTACCGTTCCAACTGAAAGAGTCCTATCGTCCAACTAATGCTTCTCTTTGATTTTACATGATAAAGCTGTTCCAACAGCCCTAGTACATGACAGGGCTTTTACATTAGCCTTTCTAAATGTCTCGATTTGGCAATTCGCCCTAACACATATAGGCGCAAACCATCATATAGAATACACTTGAACTTAAAATAAATAAACAATACTAATAATAATAATAATAAATGAAATTTACTTGTCTGACACACAGAGTAATGTGATTTCTTGATGACAATGCAAAACATAAATGAATATCTAGCATTTGATTCAGTTTCTACAGCCTAAATGAAGCACCCTGGACGACTAGAGATGTGTACATAGAAAGCAGAGAATTTCCAACAAAGAAAAAAGTGGATGGAAGCAATCATCAAAAAAGTAAGAGCAATAACGATAGAGGGATAGGGAGCGGGGGCGGAACCTTGCCAAGGACGACGTCGTTGGAGAAAGGGGAGCGGATGTGGCCGCGGACAAGCTGAAGAACAACGCTGCTACGGAGCACAGACTTGGCGAGATAATAGGAGTGGTGAGAGGCAGAGGAGCGTAATTTAGAGTTGGCTCCAGGCCAGGACGACGACGACGAGGAAGACGGCGATGACGATTCTTCCTCCGTAACCGCCATGTTTGCTCCTCCAATTCGAAACTTCCCTTTTGATTTTTTTTTTTTTTTTTTTTTTTGGGGTTACGAAACTTAGATTCAGTTTCTTCTCATTATGCGACAAGCTCGGTCATCAGTAGAATGTTCAACATCGCCATTAAAATTAAAAAGAAAAGGTGGGAAATGAAAAGGGGGGAATAGGGTTTTAGAAGAAGATGAAAGGAGAGGAAATGAGGATCATCAACTGACAGACAAAAAAGAAAAGGGAAGAAGGAGGAGTTGCAGGGGGAATATCAAGTAGCCAATTAATTGTTCCCATATGGATTAACTTAAGGAAGCACAGGTGTCCCACCTGACTTCACTGATTGATCCAGCTGATGTACTTTTTTTAGTACTATTACTGCTACTACCACTGTAACAACAAGTGATGAATCCAGATGATGATGATGATGAGGGATCAAGGTTAAGGACTGAAAAGGGCTGGCAGGGCCTGTATTCTTGATTCATGTTCAACCAGACTCCTCCTTTTCTCTTTCTTGATTCTTCCAAATTGTAAAATATTGCATCAACCAACCCAAAAAAAATAAATAAATATAAGAAAGAGTATGTAAGATTAAACAGAGAATGTATATAAATACAATGGAGGATAATAATTGTTAGATAAATTTTAGATATATTAACGAGTAGTCAATGGACACCCGTTACAAAACTTAGAAAGTAAATACTTATAAAAATAACAATAGTAATTCCCTCCGGGTTTTTTTTTTAATGGGATAATTTTAAAAACCTCCCCTGAGGTTTTTTTAATAATTTTATTATGTTTCTTGAGAATTTTGAAATTACACCTACCTTCCTTATCTAATTAAAATGACAATATTAACCTTATTATTTTAATAAAACTCCCTTGTTATAATGTTATGTATGGATATAGAAAAAATGGAATTTATAATTACTTTTTCTTTTCCTTTTCTCTTCTAATTCCTTCTTTTTCTTACCTACTAGATAAGAGAACAACTCAATTTCTCCCTTGAATGCCAAGTGTCAATATATTGTTAGAGGAAGGAGTTAGGAAGGAGTTTGTTTTCTGATTTTTGAGATTTAAAGAGTGAGAAATGCCTATTTGAGCCTTGGTCTTGAAATTAAAGGTCTTAATAGTTCCTTACTATTTAGGGGCTAATTGGTAACAATGGTTTAATTATTTTTATTTGTTCATTTTGTTTTGTTTTTAATTGGTTTGAAGGTCAATTGAATTCCTTTATGAAAACTACCTCATTAAATAGTTGCTAACTATTTAGGGTTATTTTTGTATATTTGAAAATATATCTTTTATAATTTTCTGGTCAGATGTAAATAATTGTAGACTATTTGGACCTTTTTATCACATGGGTTGTTTTGAATTACATTATATAATACATTATATAATTATTTTCATTTGTTCCTTCTGATTGGTTTTTAATTGATTTGAAAGGTTAATTAAATATTTTTATCAAAACTAGCTCATTAAATAGTTGCTAACTATTTAGTGTTATTTTTGTATATTTGAAAATATCTCTTTTATAATTTTCTGGTCAAATGCAAATAATTGTAGACTATTTGTGGGTTTTTTTATCACATGGGTTGTTTTGAATTACATTATGGGTTGTTTTGAATTACATTATATAATTATTTTTATTTGTTCCTTTTGATTGGTTTGAAAGGTCAATTGAATCTTTTTATGAAAACTAGCTCATTAAATAGTTGCTAACTATTTAGTGTTATTTTTGTATATTTGAAAATATCTCTTTGATAATTTTCTGGTCAAATGCAATAATTGTAGACTATTTGTGGATTTTTTTATCACATGGGCTGTTTTGAATTACATTATATTATTAATTATATAATTATACAAATTAATGCAGTCATACCCGTTAGAAGTAATGTTCCTGCCTGTTAGCATGATTAGTATGACTGATGACTCATGATGTAAGTTAGTCAACAGTAGCTTAATGGTCTTATTAGTCATCGAGCTTCCTTCTTCTTCATTTACCAGAATTTCCTTCCCCCTTTTGCCCTTTCCCTTTTTTCCCGTCGAATAGCCTCTTTCTTTCTCTCAAATAGCCGCTTTCTTCCCGTCGAATCAGCCTGCAAAATTTTCAGTTTTCTACCAATTCCTTCAACAACCAATTGTCCTTCCTTTTGATTGCAACCCACAAAATCCTCCACACGCACGTGAATTTTTGTCCTGCCCCAAAAATTAGGTCAGTAAAATTTTTTCCCCCCAAATCTAGAAGCCTGCAAAATCTTCAATTTTCTGTCAATTCCTCGAGCAACTAATTGTACTTCCACGAACTAATTGTACTTCCTTTCGATTACCTCTCAAAAAATCATCCACATTCGCGTGAATTCTTCTTTTTCCCCAAAAAACAGCTCACTCAAATCTCTTTTTCCCCAAAATCATCTCATTTTAGGGATGGCTGTTCTATCGCCTTATCATCTATGCTATAGCTTTCAGAACTTACTATTTCCAGCTCTATATATACCTCTGTTTCCCAGTTTTGCCGGTATTCAGCAGACGAGCGAAGAAAATCTAGGTAATTCATATTCTCTTTCCTTCTATTTCGAGTTGCAATTTTTTAGTTTTAGTTTGATGACTGAGTTGCAAATTTTAGTTTGAGCAACTAATTTTAGTTTCTGTCAATTTTTCAGTCAGCATATTAAGTTGCAATTTTTTAGTTTGATGAATGTTCTTACCTTCTGTTTATTTATTATTTATATTTATTGCCATGTTCTTACCTTCCGTTAATTAAAGACTGCCATGTGTTTGATATTATAAATAAAAGAATAATTATGATGCTATTTTTTCGATTAGCTTACGTTTACTTTTTTTTCTCTGTTTTTATATTATTTTCAAATGCTGCCGGACTTTTGCCAACATTCAGGCGAGCAAAGAAAATATAGGTATGTTTCTATTTTATCACCTTCTATTTTGAACTGCAAGTTTTTTTTCACTGTTGTTGCCTCTGTTTATTGCTTTCTCTTAATTAAGGAATGCGATGTGTTTGATGTTATGCTATGATAGTTTACTTTTCCCTCTGTTTTTTATTTCAAATGTTGCATGATGCTGTTAGCTGCTTATCTATTCAATAATTACATCATTTAGTATCATTGTCCTTTGGCTTATTAAGGTTGTCATTTTATATATATTACTTAGTTTTAGCTATTCTAGGATGCTTTGATTCTGTCATTTTGTGTGCCTTTGGATTAGCATTTTGCTTTGTTTATAGTAAAATTAGATTTTGATTTTTTGTGTTTCAAAATGAAAAAAAAAAAGAAAATTTAGTACAGGTTTTAGATTGATAGATGAAATGTTTGATGATTCCCCTGATCTAAGAATGTTGGAAAGAAACAAAAAGACAAACTTAAATATGCTGACTTAAATAAGCTTCAATTGTTCACACCAAGCACAAAGTTGGTACTTGAAGAAATTGCTGGAGCCAGTTCTTACAAAGACAGCCAGACATCTGCAACCAGTGGAGCAAAACGAAGCCTTGAGTTTCCAGAAGATTTACCAGCAGACACACATGCTAAACATCCAACAAAGGCTCCTGAAGAGTTTGCCAAAGAACCTGCAAAACTGTATGGTCCACCTGCAAATATCAAAGACAGTCCAACCAAGAAAGCTAAAGCAAAGGAAGACTAATATGGCCTATTTCTGTACTTTTGTTAAATCTTTTATTCATTGCCTTTCCTCCATTGCTTAGACAATATCTTTTGAATTATATTATGATCCATTATTCTTTTGACTTAAAAAGTAATGGATTGTAATATACTTAGTAATAGTTTAACCATCAATGCTGTACTTCATTAGGCAATGAAGCTTATTTAAGCCTCCTAATATGTAACTGTGGCTGGCATCCAAGTATCTATTCTACTAAGACATGAATGATTGAGTTTATGTAATGCATTATTGTGATTTGCATAGTATTTATCTCTTGAGCCTATATATACATGATGATGTTTTAGGAAATTATCCTCATTGTTACGGATTAAGCTGTTCATACCAGTGGGTAGGCCGCTGCATAGCGCGGCCAGAACCATGCTAGTTTTATATATTTTAAGCTATAAGTACTAACTCTAGTCGCTATCATTACCAGATGTTGAAGTAGTGATCTTTTTCTTTTGACAACTTTGAATGTGATCCAATGTTTTTGTTAATCTATTTTTTTCTTTGTATCAAAAGCAACAATAACTTAGAAAGAAAATGTTCAAGACTACTGCTAAACTATGATAATTCCAACAAATCGGAATTTCACAAACTCTAAAAGAATCATAACATTATTATTTTCTTGTCTAATTTAGAATGAATATGTTTCACAAGTAAAGCACCATGTATGATAGCACATCATGGTGATAAAACTATTGTAATAATTGCTTATTAAATAATAAATATATAGTTACTGAAAACTTGATCTTTTTATCATATTTTGCTATATATTTTACAATTGCATAGGAAATTAATATAAACTTTGTAAACTGAGGGCATTTAGGGTGTTCGTTTATTGTAAACCTTAAATGTACAGGAACCAAGGGAAGAATGAGGTGCAGCGGCTGGCCGAAAACAACGTGAATCAAGGGTCGAAGTAGGAGATCAGGTAGCAATGCAATCCAGGAAATGATTAATATTTTAGCACGATTAGTAGAACAGCAGAGTCAAGCCCCTGTTAACCAATCTAGAGACCCTGAAATATGAGAAGATATGGCCCTAGAGCGCTTTAAGAAATTCCTCCGGGCGGTCCCGACAATCTCACACCACTGGTCCCTTTTTTATTATATGTCTAAAACTTGTCAAGTTACGTATATTACAAAGCCTCATGCAGATCGCCCAAGTAGTTGAAATGTCATGACACTAGTTACATGTTACAATCAACACGATTGGACTCTCTGTTTCATGGAAATGCTTATAAAGTGCTGTTCTACTAATTATTGTTGGAAGGCAACAAATAACTTTTGCTTCCAAAACATATAAATCCGGAAAACATTTTTTCATTTTTTTAATTTACAAAACAAACAAGTTTTTTCAAGGTTCAAGTTGTTACTACAAGTTTTGGGAAATAGTCTAGCAGCGGTAAATTATATATTGGTCTCATCATTTGTTTCATAAACTACTATAAGTAATTTGCATCTTTAAGGAATTGACAGAAGATACGAGTTAAATCACTCTCAGGGTCTGTTTGGTTGGAAGTAAAATGTTTTCCTTGGGAAAATATTTTCCGTGGAAGTAATTTTCCATGAAAATCATTTCCCTTTCATCATTTTCAGGTGTTTGGTTAGCTTATTGAAAATATTTTCTTACTTCATTTTTCTGGTGTTTGTTTAACTTTTGAAATATTTTCACTTTTATCTCTATCTTTACTTTTTACACATTATAACTACATACTTCTTTCCATGCAAAATAAGAAAATTTATCTCATTGTTTAACTTTAAAAAATCTTGGAGAAATGTATATATGAATAAAAAATATCTCCTTAAGCAATAAACAAATTGCTGGCCATTTAGTGTCAAAAATCAATCATACGCAATGCTTATTGTGACATATATCTTGCACTCTCACTGCTGAAAGTTTCTCTAGAAAAGAATGTTCCTATTATACATAATTAATTACTAGCATAGGATGAGCAGAATGAGGTTTTTTTTTTTTTTTGAATATACTAGGGGGAGGGTTGGGTTGGGTTGGGTGGTACGGGAGAGGGAGTGTAAGGAAGAGGTCTTGGGTTCGAATCCTCCTGTTTACACTAAAAAAAAAAAGAACATACTACAGATGTTTTCAGTAAGTTTGGAACATACTACAGGCGGGATGCATGCATTTCGGAAAACAACTTCAGTAAGTTTGGAAGGGAAGTTGTTTTCCATAAGATGAGTGAAAATATTTTACATAGGAAAATGTTTTCAGTAACTTTTGTGCAACCAAACACGGGAAATTAGGAAAATATTTTCCTGAAAAACATTTTCACCCGAAACAAACGGACCCTCAATGAGTAATATTTTCCATTTCATTTAGAAGAGACGATACACTACAAATTATAAAACTTCCCCTATGTGTTTATCTAGCATGACCTTATAAAATTCCTTCCAATTACAATCTCAGGCTTCCTCCATTTTGTTATGTTTTGGTCAGAACTTTGAAGTCCAGATGCTTTAGTTTGCAATGTTTAATATCAGGATCATTAATGTTTAGGCACAAAGGAAAATCCGGGTTGGGTCAAAGAGCCTTGGTGGAGATTTCTAATATTTGAATTTTGTATGAATTGAATTATTTGCTAGATAAACCGCATAAAAAAAAATACATAGGTTTGTAGATGAGCAGTATATATTATTATACACAGGAAAATCGTTCAAATATCTTTCACATTTTGTCAAATAAATTTTTTTATTATTCAAAAAAATTTTTTGTCAAATGTTAATAATCTACACCTACACATACGGGGACAGACCCATTGAGAATCGGAGAGGACTAAACCACCTCTGCACCAGATAGGACATCCATTAGATTTGGAAAAGCCACATAGTGTTGTAATTGATGGGAGTCAAGTTTCGAAATCTTGACCTCCCACCTCACAAAGATCTTAAGTGCCTTTGTGATGGCCAATAACTCAAGGAGTTGTTGGTTTTATCATTCATTTTTAAAATTGTAACTTTATATCCCTTAAATAATCAAATCGATAAATTTTGATTCCAATCTAAATTGTCAATCACTTTTTACCTTGAATTCATCATGTGACCTCACATGGTCATTTTTTTAGGAACAAAAAGATTAAATTTAATTTGTAATTAAATAAATGACGCAAACCACATTCATTTTTTGCCACTAAAAAAAAGAATACAACCCAAACCATATTCATTTTTTTGTAAAAAAATAAAGGGATTTGACCCGGTTCATATTCATTTTTATCACTAAAAATATGGGATCTGACATTTTTTATATATATAAAAAAATGACTGCATGTAAATCACGTGATGATTTTAGGCTACAAAGTGGTAAAAAACATTGGTTAGAATCAAATTTTGCTATCTTGAATGTATAAGAGACGTAAAATTAACATTTTAAAAGTGAAAGATGAAAAATTAATATAACAAAAAAGTAAGAAACATTTTAAATGATTTTCCCTTTCATGTATGCATTTACATGTTTAGTTTCTATATTTATTGTTTTAGCTTTCACAGTTCAATTAATACAATTTTCCTTTTAAGGATGCGAGGCACTTTCATGATCTGTAACGTGAGAACTGTTCTTTTGGGCCCAATCACTTGATCCACCAGCGGCATCTCGCGCCCGTCGCTCGGCCGGGCCGGGGGGGTTGGGGAGATTACGAGAAACAAATAACTAGCATATTTTTGGGCCTATCGCTATGGTGACTGCCGGACTATGCAAGATCGATTGAAGTCTGTGAAATGATTGACCCAAATTGAACTATATTGAGCTTGTCCAAACTGAGTCTCTTTCTGCATTCTGTAATGACACTAGCAACAAGAAATCGGATCCCTTCACAGCCCTTTTTGGGCTTTGTTTTTGGATTCATTCCAACCATTCCACTTTTTTTTTTTTTTTTAGTATAGCATTTTATAAATGGTCCTATACCAAGGGGTGTGGGAAGGGGATGGGGATGAACCTAATTAACCTATTAAGAAGTTGGAGAGAACTGAACCATCTCCGGAAGGAAAGCTTGGATTCATTCCGACCATTCCACTTTTTTTTTTTATAGCATTTTATAAATGGTCCTATACGAAGGGGTGTGAGAACGGGATGGGGATGAACCCAATTAACCTATTAAGAAGTTGGAAAGAACTGAACCATCTTCGGAAGGAAAGCTTGGATTCATTCCTACCATTACACATTCTAAAGTCCTCTGTAAACAATATAATATTATAGAAATAGTCCTCAAGACTCAATTTAGCTATTAAAGGACGTTAGTCAAGTAATCATTAGATTTTTTTTTTTTATTCAGCTCAAATCCTGTTCTTTCTCCCTGCTTCCTCTTTGTAAATTTAGAGTTTTCCGTTGGACCTATACATATATATATAGACACACACATGTACATCACAGAAATATTCCACGGTAATAATTATTCCTCCTTTCACTTCAAAGAATGGGCATGAAGAATTTTATTTCTTTAGCGTTTCTACTAATTTCCATGCACGGCCAATTTAGTTATCAAGGATTGTCTAGTGGCTCAAACGTGCATGGTATCAAAAGGGCAATAACATTAATGGATAGAGCACTCTCATATATATCCATCCTAATAATTCCTTGTATTGCCAATTAATCCCATCAATATTTTTAATATCATGGTTTACAACATATATTTAGCTTGTACATTTAAACATGCATGATAAGAATGGCATTTATCAAAGCTAACTCACAAACTCGAAATCTTGAGCTGATGATGAATGGATATAGTTACTGGATAAGTCACTCAAATCGGTCCAACCATATTTTTTCCATATTTTCTCCAAGTCATGAAGCTTGCTTGGTTCACATGACTTGCTTCTCGTCCAAGTTCCAGCGGGTAACTATATAGAGGACCACGGCACGTAACGGTTGTAATCGTTCTTGGCGATTTTTTTCATTTTGCACACCGTATAATTTTATTTACACATCGCGTAACTTTGTTTGCACAACGTGTAACTTTAGAATAAAATTTTATGAACTCCACATACATTGTAAAAATCAAGATACAAGACATGATCTGAACCATATAATTTTTTGTGACCAAATCCTGGCCATAAACTATGCAGGACGATCGTTCTGATGAC